CAAGCTGTGATCTGTTTTCAAATACAAGAAATATTTCCCCTACATGTGCTGTCAAGATGCGCCTGAGAAAGCGATGACACCCACAGCCCTGCAACGCCGGATTCTTTCCCAAAGCCTGTTACTGGATGAAGGCCATGCGGCGGGGGTTACAGAGACGATAAAGACATGCGAGAAAACGCTGAGAGTTTAAAGTTCCCAAAGTGCACTCTTTTCAGTTTACGTGGGTGGACTGAGGGCTCCTTGATTGAACATTTCCCATGGACCTGAGCATAACCCTGACCACAGCTCTGCAGCAGTGTGGTTGGGCAGCGGCGGTCGGGTCGAGGCGGGCGAGGTGTTCCTGGATATGAGAGGAAGTAGCTCGTTTGGAGGGATGGAAGGGTTTAAAGAGAGGAGAGGTGAGCACTCCTTCAAAGCCCTTTGAAGGCTGGCTGCGGTAGGCAGAGCCGCGGTTTTCCCAAAAAGCCCCCCTAACAGGAAAACAGTTTTTTTTCCATTGCACAAGAGAAAACTCTACCCCACAGCCAAAGGCAAGGACCTGCTCTGAACTCACAGGGGGAAAAAAGAAAACGAAAAAATAATTTTATTAAGTGCTTGGAATACTCGCACGCTTGCGTACAATAAACTTAAACTCACACACGTTGCTGACGGACAAACACATGTTGGATTTACAATATGTGCCCTCCCTCACATGAAGACGAGTTGTAAAAGATGCCAGAGCTTGTGACTCATCAGACTACTCCCTTTCTCTTCCTCCTTCTCACTCTCCCTCCTACTCCCCTTCTCTCATTTTCTCTCAACACCAATGTTAGCGCGCAACAGGTGACCTTTGCCTTGAGGTCGGAGGTCAATGGTCTCCCAGTGAAAAGGAGAAAGAAGTTTGAGGTCTGTCATTTGGTTTGACAGAAGTTAAAACAACAAGACCCTAAAATTTAGTAGACATATTATTTGTCCCTCTTGAACATACAAGCAAGGAGCATGTTCTGCTGTGACACCTTTTATCAGCAGGTCAGCCTCACTTGTCTGTGTCTTAAAACACATAAATAGAGTCTACATGTGTTTTATGATAAAATGAACTTAACATATGGTTAAGGTTTGGTTAGGTTTGGGCAGAAAAACAACAATGAGGTTATGATCACAGATTGGGTCAAAATAAGCTCTTTGTTAAGTCGTCATCATGGTTACAATCATAGACATGTTGTTAAGGTTAAAGGGCTCAAGTGTTGACTTTTTTTTTTTAAATGTCGATGGTTGGTTTGAAATAAGAAGCAAACTTCAGTCTCCGAGGTCGAAGCACACTCATATTTGATGGAACACATTAAAGCTGGTTTTGAAGTCATTAAAACCGTATTTCTGCATTTATGGGTTGAACATGACTCATAACGCCACCTAGTGTTTCAAACCATTTGGACCTTGCAGGTCCAATGTTTACGTAGAGTCAACTGTTTGGGCCGTCTCTGTGCCATTAAGAAAAGGTGGCCGACCCCCCCCACCAGCAACTGCTCCTGAGTGGGAATCTCATTTTTAAATCTATGCTGAAACTAAACTCCTAAACCACCACATCATTCGTTTGAACCACTGGCTGAGACAGCTGCCTGTGTCAGCGGCTCTAACAGCTTGGGACCACAGCGCTCCTCAGACACGGTGTGGCCCGACGTCTCAGCACCAACCACCTGTGCCAGCGGTTCAAACGGCTCAGGACGGCCGTGGTCTTGGCCGTCTGGAAACTCAGGAGACAAGAAGCCTCTGCTTCATTCAACGTCTCTGATGCATTTGTGTGTGTGCTGCTACTGGAGTGGAGACAACCTAAATAACTAAGCTCTGCTATGTCTTATCCTCGCCTCGATTCTTCCAGATGAAGCACTTAAACAAAAACTTAAGGGTGAAGATAAAATCCGAAGTTTTATTGACCCATCCCTCACACAGACCTCCTTACTCATACAATGTCGCTCTATTACAACACTACCTTACTATGTCCTTGGCTGGCCAGTAATTACTGCAACCACTTAGGGTTTGTCACTTGAATATAAACATATAGAACCCTTGCTGACACGACTGACACTGTCATTTTTTGGAGGACACTCTCCGTTCACGCATTAGCTAAGAGCTGGTGCTACTTTATGGCGGAAGTCTGCTATTTAAAGGGTGCATTGCTTTTCCCTGGGTGCTCACATCATATGGTTGATGAAATGAACGGATGAGCCAGCAGCCAACACGATTGTCATAGCGCTAGGAAACCCTTACATGCATCTAGTCATTTGACTATACGACAGAAAGTTAATAAATGAAGCATCGCATTCCTGCCGAACACAGAGTCATGTGCTCAGCTGTCAGCTACTGGTATGTTTATGGGTGCTTGCCAATCACTCACCAATCACAGCCCATTCTCTCAACAAACCCGTCCCTTTAAATACGACCTCCTCCTGCTGATCCCTGCTCAGCTACGCTGCCACTCATGCTCTGCTGCCGGCAACTTGCCTCCACCTTTTAGCAATGAGTCCAAACATGGCTGTGGGTTAATGATATTCATCTCGAACAAATGTATCTTGCCTGCTACGCCCACTGGGGGGTTTTGCATGCGTTCCCTGTTTTATCTTAGCGTGGCTAATCCAGGGAGCATCCAAAAAATGGAGCCATCCACACCAAACATAACCGTAGTCCCATTGTGCAATAAATGGATAAATCATGATGAAATGTTCCTGACTGAAATGTGGTTCTTTTGTAGAAATGATCTGTTTGCTCATCACGACTGAGACGGTAAAGTGATGGGTACAGACGGACCTCACACACACACACACACACACACACACACACACACACACACACACACACCCTTCTGCATCTGGAGGAAATGTGTGGCTGCAGGCCTGGCAGGATGCGTGGAGATGCAGGATGAAGCATGTGAATCTTTGGCCCTGGATCCCCTCCCCACAGTGAGAGACATCTTGGGTGTCACGCCGACGAATGACCGGTATTTTAACAGGAAAGGAGAACACAAACACACAAGCAATTTTTCACTGAACGAGAAACACACAGCTACTTAGCGGTAAGAAATTTCAACGTCATTCTTCCCACCAAGGCGTAGACAATGTGTTATGTGGGTACTTTATCACACCACTTCAATCTCCACATCTGAGTAGAAATTCATGTCAGGGATGGGACGGATCCAGGAGGGAAATAAAAACATAGAACTCCTGGAAATTCCACATGGAATCGAACTCCTATCTTAAACTCCCATTCATGAAATTACACACGATTATAGTGGATTTGTAGATGCCAGAGCCTGATATGGTCAAACAGCTGTGTTATGAAAAGTGATCATTCAGATATTTGAGTTCTGTGGACGCTTCAGAGTCCTGGATGAGCTGCGTTCAGTTTCTAATTGGCTTTGATCAAAATGACAAAAGCTTTACTCAAGGAAAGGATGGATAGTTACACCCAACGAAAACAGAACAGAAGGGACAGACAGAAAGATCTAACGTTACTTTGCCCTGTCAAACTCTCGAAGCCGTAGAAGAAAAATATATTAAATGTGTTGACTTTACTGGCATAGTTAGACGGAGCCAAGAGTCCTGAGGAACCCTGCTTTTCAAAACCGATGAAAATGATCTGCCTATGTGTTTCTGCAGCTTTCCTCCATCTCCATGCACCTTTCCTGTGGGGTTCAGAAATACCACGTACGAGCAGACACACACACACACACACACACACACACACACACACACACACACACACACACACACACACACACTGCCGGGAGTGAAAAAAAATCTGCACTATGTTGCTTTGGATTACACATCATGTGCCTTCAGCAGCTCCTGGCTCTACCTCCCTCGCTCTGTTACTCGTGGAAGCAGGGTGTGATGCAATTAAATAATGATGATTAATTTGCACAAACAGGGAAGCTGGTGGCTGCGCTCCAGATGAGCAGCACCTCACTCCAGAGGACACAGACTTGACTCAAACATGTTTCACAGTCTCTCTGACCTCGGTGAGGACTCTGAGGCCTTCTCCTGCCGCACTGATTCCAGTCACTTGTGTTGAGAGTGAGAAGTAGGTCAAGTGGCTGACACTGTTTCAGTGCAATAGGGGCATACTCTAAGTCAATTGAAGCAGTTAAGATAAGGAATCTGTGTGGGACTCCCAGGCTTGTTGCTGCTTGAGAACCAGAGAGTAGATGATCTTACAGAGGGCTCATTATTTAAGTCTATTATTTCCTGTGGCACATTGTCCACAATGGACTTCAGGGTCAAATCAAGCCTTTAATCACTTAACTCCTCAATAAACCTGCTATAATATAATATATTATCTTTTTTATTTTAATGGTGCTTTATTTCAAAGTTATTGTGGGTTATTGTCAACAGACCAAAATAAAACTATTTGATTTTTTTTTTTTTTTTTTTTACAATTTATTTTTCAGTTTGCATGTGGTGGCATCAAAGCAAAAAAGGAAAATATTAGAAGTGACAAACGCATTGGGAGACTTGGCGAGGGCAGTGCCGAGGAAGACGGGAACCGAGAGGCGCGCTGCTTGCTTTGGCACCCACACTTGGCCCCGAGTCCAAGTCGCTATTAAAGCTAACTGGCTGCGTATAGCCCACCTCTTGTACCTCGTATTAAATCCTAGGCGCGGGCTGTTTTTCTTGCTTTTTAATGCTGCGACCCACGGGCCAGTTGTAAATCGAGGAGGCTGACACCTGTCTGTGGTGTCCGCAGCTCTGATCCGATCCTGCGCGTCCCGGTGAGTCAGCGAGCCAAAACACCCACTTAGCCTAGAGGCACACGAACCCAGCCTCTTAATAAAGTAATGATAGTCATTGCCCTCATTTAAAACAAATGGCAGGTAATGGACAGCTCAGCAGAACAAGCGTCGTGAGTCACTTACTTTAGCGTATAAGGAAAGAAGTCGTGCGTAAAAATCGAAATCTGCTCTCCACAAACACACAAACATGCTGGTTGGGCAATAAAGACGCTCAGTGACCCGCAAATTATAAACTTACCCCAGTGTCAAGTGACTGTCGCTGCAGTTTCCGAGTATTAAATTGACGTCCCTTGAGACTGAGAGATCCACAGCAATTAGTCTTCAGGTTGTCTTCCGTCAGAAATCGCCTTGTCCGGACGCAAAAGTCTCGTTTCTCACACTCGCCTCGTTGGAATATTTAGAGATGAGGAAAAAACGCCTGCCACATAGTTTAAAAAAAGAGTAGGGGGACACCGAGAGGAGAGGTGAACCAACATGCGGCCATCCGCGCACAAAACTGAAAACCAACTGAAACCCCGTCCAGCACATCCATAGGTTGTGGAGCGAGCCCGGGGTAGGCTACTCCCCATTAAAATGAAACCCAGATTTCCCCAGCCATGTGTGTGCGAGCGAGAGGAGAGCGAGAGGGAGAGAGAGAGCGAGAGAGACAGAGAGAGAAGGGGGGTGAGAGTAGGTGGGGGTCTAAATAATCCCAAAACCAGCCGTGTTTTCTTAACCCAAGTTTCATTTGGTGATGCGCAAAATCGAATTGTGCCACAATGACGCGCAAACAGAAACAAACAGCTCGATGACACCACACCAACTCGCCTCTAGAAAGATTTTTGTTTCCCCCTCAAACAACACAACTGGTCTCACTTTTACAACAGATACCTCCGCAGCTTTTACGCACTGATTGTTACTTTGCTGGCTCTGAAGTGCCCCGTGGCTCGCTGTGTTCACAGGCAGACATATGGAGGTCGTAATGAGAACACAACGTTGAACCTGTTGAGGCAGAGTGGGGGCCTAGCGGGGCCCAGAGTGTAATAACTTATTAATCCTAATAATAGACCAACACATGTGGGATTTATTAGTGTATGTACGCCGTGTGCGTCATGGCACGGAAAATGGGAAAGTTTAGATGGTTTTATCGATTTGTAATCATAGAAGTAGCATCACATTAAATATACCACGGTGTGTGTGTGTGTGTGTGTGTGTGTGTGTGTGTGTGTGTGTGTGTGTGTGTCTGTGTTGAGAGACAGGCTCTTTTTGGCACAGAATTTATTGCGCCTTCGGCCATGACAGCAGCACATTAACTCATTAACTGAATTCATATGGCTTTGTTCCGTTCTCCTAGTGTGAGTGTGTTTGTTAAAGAGCTACAGCTAAATGTGGTTTGTCACGATGAGTGTTTGCAGTTTTCCATATGAGCCTGTCGGAGGAGAGAGTGTGCGTAAAAGAGCACTGGAGAGGCCCCATGCTTTAGAGTGACTTTAAAAAAACCATGTCATTCAACTGCAGTCAACAGTGCTGGATAATATTAAGATGGAAGTTTATCTACACAAAGCGGTTATGATTATGAGAGGTGACTTTTGTCATCTATGTGCTTTTTGGTTTGACTGTCACACATTGTCTCAGCCAATCACAGCTGAGCACCCGGAGCTACTTGTTTTTGCAAAGGCAGAAAAACACATGTTACACTTGTAAAGATCAGCCCAGCAGAACCGCGAGGACGGCCACAACCCGTTTTATAATTTATAGGCGACAGCCCGCGTGTAGCTGTGTGTGTTATTGCAGGTGCAGCCCAGTGCGCACCGGCGGGTCATTAACTCGAGCATCGCGACCGATCAAAAAAAATCCCGAGCACCTCCTGGCTCCGCAATAAGCTGATCAACATTCCGGCTGTACTTACTGTGCCATCCACTGGGAAGGACAGCACAGTCCGGACCGGACTGGCCCGGCGAGACCCGGGACCGAGCTGCGCTTTTGTGCCTTTATTCCTACAAATAATCTCAAGCAAAGACCATTAAAACATGAGGTCATACCCACAGATGAGTGATAAATAATAAGCATTCACCCCAATTCCTAGCGCATGCGTGCACGTGTGACAGATATATGAGGATACACCTGCAGCCAATTGACGACTAATGGACGACGGTGAGCAGAATGGGTCAAAATGAAAACGACCTTTAAATACTACAATGGTGATAAAAGCATTTAAACACAAACAAAGGAAAACGATAATTTCATTAAAAACTTCTAAAATCGTCTAAAATCAAATTTCATAAATGAATAAGTGCAAAGCTGTAGTGCATTTATGAAAATAATTCCACCATTATTTTATTAATCATTTCCAATCTCTGCACATTTATCTCATATCTGAATTGCTTTCGTCTTTTTTTTTTGTCTTAATATATTTCTTCTAAATGATTTTCTGGTCAATCACAACCTGAAATCATCTTTTCACCTGCTTACAGGAAGTGCACATTAATTATACTCTTTATTATTCTGTTCTCATCAGATCTATTAGATTTTTTCCGTTTCTCCTGTTATTTACTGTTATTCTCCTTTTTATAAACTCTCTGAAAGTGTAGACCCACTTCTTTCAAAAGCTTCCTTGTTTCCAATTTGATCCAACAGTTTCTTGGAAATGGACATGATAGTGAAAGTAGTTAAGAGGACAACCAACTGTCAGCTTTAACCTGCAGCTGCATGATGTTCCTCACACAGTCACACAGAGACAGCAGACAGTTCTTCATTATTTACAGAGAAGGTCAATATACTGACGCATTTCTGTGAAATAAAGAAACCACTCATTTAGATTATCTCCAATTACAAGAGGGAGAGATTAGAGTGCGTAAAAGACATAATGAAAGAGAGAAAGCAAGACTAACACCCGGCACCACACTCACTTGCTGTCAGATGGGATCCAGGCCTCTCCTCGGTCTTTTGGAGCTGTTGCACTTCAGCGTGTTGATGTTGTCTGCAGAACAAGTCTCACGGCCCGGGGCCTCTCTGCGCTGGGTTCCCTGTGGCGGACACCCCGGAGAACATGTCAGCCTCGCTTCATTTTTTGGCACCCCCGCACGGAGAGACGCGTACCTTGTGCAGAGGAAAGCCCACACCTGGTTTTTAATAGGGGAATAGTGCCCTCTTGTGGTGGAATAGCTGTAAAGCTCAGTCAGACTCATAACCTTGGATCTTCATTGTGTTAGTCCAATATTTTTATTCCTATTTTTTAAAATCAAACAAACACTAAAACAATAAACTTCCTCTCAGTTATCCATAGATGAGAACCTAAGACCTATAAGTACAACAGGCTGTGTATGATAAGACCTGAGTACTTTTCATTTGTACTATATTTAGGAGATAATATCATCATGATAAAAGAAGAAGATTTCACCCCCAAATTTCTTAACACACTGCTCACAGCCGCTCTATATGTGAGGGAGCGGCTGGTCATGTAAACATGTCTTGCCATTATCTGGATTTCCAACCTGTGTCACTGGATAACGTGGGCTAATTATTACTTGGCATTAAAAAATTAAAAAACATATTTAGTTGATTTAATCTAATCTGATCATCTATATAATCACATTTCATATGCACATTTCATTTTCTGATCTTAAGGCAATTATACAATTATTACATATATCTTTTTTACACCAATATTTTTCTTCAAAGTATTTTTTTAAATGAACTATAGTTACCAGTTTCTAATAATGCATCATTTGAATGTTAAACATGACCATCATAAAGCATTTGTATAATCAATTGTATTAATCCTGAATAAGGTCATTTGTTACTACTAACAAAGATCTATAAAGGTTACCATATTATTATAGATTATTTTTATTATTATTATTGTTAAGTGACAACAAGGCAAGATCACACTCAAATATTTCAAACCCTTTGTGATCTTACTACATGTAATTTTATAGTATTTTATGTAAAATGTGATCCCTACATTTTCTGTGTGTTAAGATGGATGCTGTCACCTACAAACACAAAATTTAACCTTCAAGTGATTAAGATTCATCCCAGAGGCTGATACCCAAACCCCACGTACACATACAGCCACATACACCTGACATCCGAGCTGCTGCTTCACAGGTACCTTCGCTCTCTGCCGGCTCCTGCTGATGCCCTTCAACTCACCACTGAAAACTACTGTGTCACTGTACAGAAATGTGAAACGTATCCATTTGCCTAAGTGGGCCAAACGCAGGGGCACGTTGGAGCCCAACCGACTGATAATTAATTGCTGCTGGCAAGAACCCCACGGAGAGTGGGTTTGCTGTTGTGGGAGAGGAGGGGGTGGTTAGTGGAGAAGGTTATAGCAGGGGAAAATGGGAAAAGGAGGCCAGAAGATAGAAAGGAGAGAGAGAGAGCACTGAGGGCACTTGAAATGACACTGAGGTCTCAGTAAAAATAAACAGCTTGAGCCCCTCTCAGCACACCCCCCCTGTTTATAGCGACAGCCGCTTGGGGAACCCCGCCTGTTTACTTTCCCTCTGCCGACTCATCTTAAGTCAAGATGGCATGTTGGCGTTATTGTATACATCCTCTCACACACTCACTCATCCAGGGCTCAGCTGCCACTCCACTTCAAAGACCCGGGGCCTGAGTGGGAACGGAAGAGATATTAATGGGTTTAATACCAGCATGTCCTTGTGCGACGCGTGCATGTGCATGTGTGTGTGTGTGTGCTGGCCTACAGTCTCTCTCTGTCTCTCTGTGTCACACACTCACATTTCTTGGGGTGTGCGGTATCAACGTGTCAACATTAAGGAGAGAGAGCTATCAATAGCTCTTCTGCCAGTATTATGGTCCCATCCATCATTTTGACATCACCCCACTGAAGGTGGTCTCTTCCCGGCTCACACTGATGACTCAACCGCAGAGAGTTTTTAAACGAGGATACCTTGAGGCCACAGCGAGGAATCTGCTGTAACCCAATCTACACTCCTGAAGACGCAGAGGATGTGTGTCGGTCTCAGTGTGTGTGTGTTTGGGGGGTTACTGTTGACTTGCTGTGGGATTATTTCGGGGTTTAGCTGTCTACATTTGACAGCCTCGACTGTCCAAGATGATGGAAGGGAAATTGACCTTCCTAGTCAGTGTGTTGTGCATGCATGAGGAAAACGATTGCTTGGATGCATGTGTGTGTCCTCACATACATGTATGCATGTCTACTTGTAGAGAATGGGGGTTCAGGTAACTCTCTGGTGGTATTTGGGCCCTTCATTTGTGCGGAATCCAGCATCATTATCCCAAAGTGTTGCCAGCTGGAAGTGCTTGGGAGTTCCCATTTGAACTCAATGTGTGTTCTGAAGATGTAGCGGGCGCGGGAGAGTCGAACAACTCTAATGAAAGCTCGTGTCCTGGTTCTCATTCCGCCCTGACGTTCACGAGCAGCGGAATCTGGCACCGTCTTGCCGATTTGCTAATAAATTGTGCGGCTACAACAATGCCACCCAAGGCTACAGAGCTGCTTTATGAATTAGTTGTAATCCAGTGAGCTGGAAGTGGATGATGATGGAGGTTCGATTCAAGCACAGTGATAGTAAATAATGACCAAATAGATCTGTGA